ATGAATTAATTGTTTTTCGACTACCTAACCTACCTAACCTAACCTAACCTAACTTTTCGGCTACCTAACCAAACCTAACCTATAAAGATAGGTTAGGTAGGGTTGGTTAGGTTCGGTCATATATCTACGTTAATTTTAACTCCAATAAAAAAAAAATGACCTCATACATAATGAAATGGGTAGCTTTATCATTTCATAAGAAAAAAATTAGAAAAATATATTAATTCAGGAAAAACTTGGCTTATTAGGCAAGGTATAGATGGTAAAAAAGGCAGACTCACTAGCAAAATCTACCACTGCTCTACCTGTTGTACAGATTAGAATACTTCCAAGTTTTTCACAAATTAAGGAGCAAATCAAGAAGAAAATCCTTCTAATTATCAAAAGTCGCCACAGAGCCTAAGTAGCGGAAGGAAGATCCACTGCGATATGGTACGAACAAGCCACTGGGAACTACTCATTCAAGCTTGGCAAAAAGGTATCCAGAGACATTGCAGTAGCCATACACAGACTCAGACTTGGTTACAAGTGCTGCTGGGAGGTAATGAACCCAATAATTAGTGTCATATCTGTGGAACAGAAGCAGAGGCGCCACTATTGCACTACTTACTGGAATGTGAAGCTACTGAAGCCCTGCGCATCAAACAACATGCAACCAACGACAGCAACTGCATTAAATGCCAAATCCACAGCGACTACAATGGTTAAAAAAGCAGTTGAAGAATGGGACACACTAGTGATCACTGTACATCTATATCCGCCGCCAAGATAATGTTATTAAAACAAAAGACTAAAAACTAGTGCGAAAAGAAGGAAACTCCACCTTCATTTAAAACATTGAACAAGATCTCACAATAACAATTTTATCGGGAATAACCCAACTCAATCAGGGGCTCACTATAGCCCGTGCTACATGGTCATTTTAGTGAACAAATCCACAAGGGCCGTGACGAGGATTCGAACCTGCGTCTGGGAGCATCCCCGACACTGCCTTAATCGACTGAGTTATCCAGCCAACTCGTCACGGCCCTTGTGGATTTGTTCATTTGATGCATCACGTTAGTGTGATCTCTGTGTGTGGTCATTTTAGTTCCGAATCTACAACAACAACATGCGACACATGGGTGTTGTATGTTGTGATGTGATGGAGGCCTGATAACAACCCTGCAGAGGTTGTTAAGGTCTCTAGGCCCAATATCACCCAACAATTTTTGAATAAGGGGGAACTAGCGCTTCTGTTATGAGTGTGTGCACGTCTGGCAGTCTATCGCACCCATGTGCTACGAACGTGAACTAAATAAAACGCTGTGTTTCCTATTTTATTCATAAAAGTTCTGTAAATTTTATTACACACACACAAAAAAAGTGAAAATTGAAGAAAAAATACATATATGTATATGAAATTGCATTCCTCTGTTCCTAAATGAAAATATTGTATAAAGAATAATGAATTTTGCAGCTTATGTTCAGAAATTTTATCAACAGTTAGTTGAGGCAACAAATATACATTTTTAGTCGAGTTTCTTTACAATTTGATTATTAAATTTAATACACTGAGGCGTAGCTGGCATCTCGGTGTATATATGTATGGGAGTTGAATTGAGTACTTGGCCTTGTTCAGGACACGTATACTTACTGGGTGAACAGTAACCTATTCCGTTTGTTGTTGGACTTAAGGCCAATCAACCGCTGGGAGGTTATTAAGGCCGACTCAATACTTACTGACCAACCGTGTACAATAGTCCTGAACTCACTTCATATATATTTACCAAAGAGCGGGCTACACACATTGTTGTATATATATATATACTTGTGTGTATATACCCGTTGATACCCCCCCCCCCCCGCCTCCCTGCGGTGGATAAGTCTTAAGTTCAACACTAAACTCAAGAAAGTTATTTTAGGAATAATGAAAGTAAGTCAATTATCAACCATGTTCTCCACTGCTCAGAATAATTGATCTTCTGGAAGCAAATTAGATGATTGAGACATAGACGTGTCAACTAATGGCAATCTATTATACAAATTATTATAATACATATTGATGTTTTTTTCACCGTTGTAGTTAGTGTTCGAACTGGACAGGGCGATATAGTAATTGTTTAAAATAGATTAGGGTGCCGTTACCTATGACAGGTGACTGTCGTTATCTGTGGCAGGTGGCTGTCATTACCTGTGGCAGGTGGCTGTCATTACCTGTGGCAGGTGGCTGTCATTACCTGTGGTAGGTGGCTATCGTTATCTGTGGTAGGTGGCTGTCGTTATCTGTGGCAGGTGGCTGTCGTTATCTGTGGCAGGTGGCTACCGTTACCTGTGGCAGGTGGCTATCGTTATCTGTGGCAGGTGGCTGTCGTTATCTGTGGTAGGTGGCTACCGTTACCTGTGGCAGGTGGCTGTCGTTACCTGTGGCAGGTGGCTGTCGTTATCTGTGGCAGGTGGCTGTCGTTATCTGTGGCAGGTGGCTGTCGTTATCTGTGACAGGTGACTGTCGTTACCTGTGACAGGTAGCTACCGTTACCTGGAGCAGATGGCTACCGTTACCTGTGACAGGTGGCTGTCGTTACCTGTGGCAGATGGCTACCGTTACCTGTGACAGGTGGCTACCGTTACCTGTGGCAGATGGCTACCGTTACCTGTGACAGGTGGCTGTCGTTACCTGTGGCAGATGGCTACCGTTACCTGTGGCAGATGGCTACAAGAGACGAATCTCCCACCCCTGAGCAAGGTCATCTCTCACTACCTTATTAAACATCCAGTCATATTCAAAATAAACAAAATATTTGCTTATTTTTGTTCATAAAAAATTGCATAAATTTGGAAAAGTATGTAAACTATGGGTCGGGGGCGGGGGGGGGGTTGCTGTGAACATTTTGGTGTTCATTTAGAACAACAGTTCTGTTACTGACAGCAATGATTTAAGTAAAACAAAGAACAGCGGATCATGCATAGTAGTAGATGTTCTCATCATCATAACATCACAGTAGATAATATTATCAACGTCATAACATCCTAGTGGATGATGTTATCTACACCATAACGTCACAGTGGATGATGTTATCGACATCATGCTATCACAACATAACATCATAACGTAACCTGTTATAAACAGTTTACACGTGACTATCATATAATGAGGTCGAGTAGGTCTCTTGTGTGTGGGAATTTACACTGAGTGAACTGTATTCCTTGACATGTGTTCTCCCCAGTGTGACGTCTCCCCAGTGTGACGTCTCCCTAGTGTGACGTCATTTTGTCTGCCCCTCTCTCTCTCTCATGCTCTTAATACCTCAGCATCCTCCTCCTCCTTACCATAATTACCTATTTAAGAAACAATAGGTTATTTAGGAAACATTAGGTCATTTAGGAAACATTAGGTCATTTAGGAAACATTAGGTCATTTAGGACACATTAGGTCATTTAGGAAATAATAGGTCATTTAGGACACATTAGGTCATTTAGGAAATAATAGGTCATTTAGGAAACATTAGGTCATTTAGGACACATTAGATCATTTAGGAAATAATAGGTCATTTAGGACACATTAGGTAATTTAGGAAATAATAGGTCATTTAGGAAACATTAGGTCATTTAGGAAATAATAGGTCATTTAGGAAACATTAGGTCATTTACGAAACATTAGGTCATTTAGGAAACAATATTTCTTTTACTTATTGTTTATTAAGTGTAGCTTTTTACTCAACATATTTTACCCACTGGTAGACTAAGAGTGACGTGGCGCACTCCTATTGGCTGATACAAAGAGGGCTGTAAAA